TCTAAATGTGTGTGTGTGTGTTTCATAAACCATCGACAGCAGTACATAAATTACATTGGCAGTTTGACGACGCCGACGACGACGCCGACGCCGACGCCGACGCCGACGTCATCATCGCTGGCGTTGATTGTTGTTGAAGTTGTCGCCTGATCGGGCGCTTTGTTGCCGGCATTGTTTGAGCCGGGCCTACAAAAGTCTCCTAAGATTTTTATTGGCCCGTTCGACGTCGCCAGCCTTACCGTTGCGAACAAACGTGGCCAGCGGTCCGGTTTAATGCGTTTTAGCGAGCACATAATAAATAGCAAATGCGAAAATAATAAAAAAACAACAAACAACAACAACAACAAAACACACACAGACTAGACACGAAATGAGTAGAAACATCTTGTGAAATATTTATGTATCTCGCACTCGTACAGCAACGCGACTATCTGGAAATTGCAATGCAATTAACTGCAGCAGAGCCGGAGACGACGTGGAAAGCATTCGAGTCGCAATCGACACGTATTTCCATTGAATTCAATCGAACCGCTGCTCACTGGACGAGCCTCAATGGAGGCTTCACTGACTGCCACACGCATGGAACGCGCGCTTCACTGTTGCAAAGTTGTTTTCATACTCGCTCACGTTGAAGAGGCGAGCGTATTGGCTTGCTGTTCCGCTAGCTGCACTGAGAATTGGAAATAGATACTCGTCTATAAAATATACATTTTAGCAGCATCTCTGCCTCTTCTGCAATCCAAAAAGGTTTTGAGGCATGAACGCGCATTAGGCCGTCGAGCACGCCCGATTGCAATATTCTCAATTGCTTTTAGGCAACATTAGGATGGGCCCTGCCCACATCTGTATACCACAAATCATAGCATAAATCTTCTTTTCAAATTGTTTTTATTTTTACAGACTTATTTCATTTGTTTTCACATTTCGAACTGCCTTGAAATCAGTTTCTTTCGGAAGCCCTAGGGGCTGGGCTGGGCTGGGCTAGGCTGGGCTGGGCTGGGCTTTTCTTGACCTAGTGCAGAACCAGTCAGAGCTCGTGGACTTGTTTCTGTAAATGTGCTCACATGGGAGAACAGAAAATGATGTAATGATGTCAAGTCATGTCAAGTCAAGTCAAGTCAAGTGAAGCAAAGTTCATCTAAGTGAAACGCAATCAATGCTAGTTAGATCGAAAGATAACTTGAATGCTATCTAAATAGATTGACAAACAGTCAAACGGGTCATGTTTTTATTGCAGAGAGCGCGAGAGAGAGAACAGGAAATATATAGATATATACTATATATAGACATCAACATGATCATCATCAGCTTGATGATCATAACTGATCATATCGAATATGGGTGCGACTGTCATGGGTTTTTTTATAGTTGACACAATTTCACCCATAATTAAGCGCAGCTTAAGAGAGTTTGCATTAATTATTCACTCAGCCAGTGAGCAGAGTATCTAGATTTAGACCAAAACGGGACAGAGATAGAGATAGAGATAGAGATAGAGATAGAGATAGAGATAGAGATAGAGATAGATAGAGATAGAGATAGAGATAGAGATAGAGATAGAGATAGAGATAGAGATAGAGATAGAGATAGAGATAGAGATAGAGATAGAGATAGAGATAGAGATAGAGATAGAGATAGAGATAGAGATAGAGATAGAGATAGAGATAGAGATAGAGATAGAGATAGAGATAGAGATAGAGATAGAGATAGAGATAGAGATAGAGATAGCGATAGAGATAGAGATAGCGATAGAGATAGAGATAGAGATAGAGATAGAGATAGAGATAGAGATAGAGATAGAGATAGAGATAGAGATAGAGATAGAGATAGAGATAGAGATAGAGATAGAGATAGAGATAGAGATAGAGATAGAGATAGAGATAGAGATCGAGATAGAGATAGCGATAGAGATCGAGATAGCGCTAGAGATAGAGATAGAGATAGAGATAGAGATAGAGATAGAGATAGAGATAGAGCTAGAGATAGAGATAGAGATAGAGATAGAGATCGAGATAGAGATAGAGATAGAGATAGAGATAGAGATAGAGATAGAGATAGAGCTAGAGATAGAGATAGAGATAGAGATAGAGATAGATAGAGATAGAGATAGAGATAGAGATAGAGATAGAGATAGCGCTAGAGATAGAGATCGAGATAGAGATAGAGATAGAGATCGAGATAGAGATAGAGATAGAGATAGAGATAGAGATAGAGATAGAGATAGAGATAGAGATAGAGATAGAGATAGAGATAGAAATAGAGATAGAGATAGAGATAGAGATAGAGATAGAGATAGAGATAGAAATAGAGATAGAGATAGAGATAGAGATAGAAAGAGAGATATGTATACGTATCCTCTCTCCATCTCTATCTCGATCTACAAATAGAAATTAGTTTTTCAGTCTTTTACAAAGTTTCCCATATTTTATAAATTAGTAAATATTTATTCCTAATTTTCAATCGATGCTTCTATTACTAATTGATTGGCTCGGTCCGTTATGTATCACGATTCTGCCTCAAATCATAAATCAAGAAACAAGAAGAAAGAGAAGTTCAAAGTCAAAGAATCTTCGATAGAATTTCCAAGTTCTTCTCTGTTGCAAAAGCATCTGGAAGCCGTTAGCAGGAATTGTTTAGTCTTGGCCAATTGTGTTGCTTCACTGAAATATCATATTATCCAACTAGCCATAAAGAATATAGTAAGAACTTGGTTTACTCTAGCAGTTCTTAGAATTCCAATAGCTATATATAGTTAATAAACTAGACATGATTGGTAACTAAATTTCTCCAGCACAGACCCGAGGCGTATAGATAGGGTATTTAATAGTCGGTGACCGGCAGGCCTATCCAACTAACCTTGGGTGAAATTCTAAACTCTGTTGTAGCAAAAAGGTGGTCTGTCGGTCCAGCCCGCACCTGTTGCCAAATGTTGTCGCACCTCAAAACTTGTTGCGAGTGGCCAGAAGGAGAGCGCCGAGTGGACACTGGAACGATAAAGTTGCGTCGCGCTGTCAGTGCCACAGAGAAATAGTTGCGCTATAGTTACATAGTTGTAGGAATATATGGGTCGACGGGTCTCGAGAAGAATCGAGAAAGTGCGTCTGCTCAGCACAGAACGAGCAGCTACAAGTGTGTGTGCGTGTGTGTGTGTGTGTGTGTATGTGTGTGTGTGTGTGTATGTGTGTGTGTGTGTGTGTGTGTGTGTGTGTGTATGTGGCACTTGACAATAAAAATGCATATTTAAAAAGCGGTATGCGCCGTTAGCATCAGTAACCTGAATGCAGCTTCTACGCTGTGCGAGCAGCCACTGGCAGGGGATCAGGCTTCAAGTGGCTTGAAGACCACACACGAAATACTAAATAAATCAAGAAGCAAATATACAAAAATGCAGTAAATATATTTATTTAATGGTATTTGGAACTAGTTCAATAATGGTTCATTGTTCGGGAGTGTCTGACTGGGAAATACCCTGTTCCTGATTATATCATTTGCGCTGTTGAATGGACTTCAATGATTTTTGAAGCATGTGATTGAATACCTGGTGTAATACATTCATACATTCATACATTCATACATTCATACATTCATACATTCATACATTCATACATTCATACATTCATACATTCATACATTCATACATTCATACATTCATACATTCATACATTCATACATTCATACATCCATACATTCATACATTCATACCATACATTCATACATTCATACATTCATACATTCATACATTCATACATTCATACATTCATACATTCATACATTCATACATTCATACATTCATACATTCATACATTCATACATTCATACATTCATACATTCATTACATTCATACATTCATACATTCATACATTCATACATTCATACATTCATACATTCATACATTCATACATTCATACATTCATACATTCATACATTCATACATTCATACATTCATACATTCATACATTCATACATTCATACATTCATACATTCATACATTCATACATTCATACATTCATACATTCATACATTCATACATTCATACATTCATACATTCATACATTCATACATTCATACATTCATACATTCATACATTCATACATTCATACATTCATACATTCATACATTCATACATTCATACATTCATACATTCATACATTCATACATTCATACATTCATACATTCATACATTCATACATTCATACATTCATACATTCATACATTCATACATTCATACATTCATACATTCATACATTCATACATTCATACATTCATACATTCATACATTCATACATTCATACATTCATACATTCATACATTCATACATTCATACATTCATACATTCATACATTCATACATTCATACATTCATACATTCATACATTCATACATTCATACATTCATATCATACATTCATACATTCATACATTCATACATTCATACATTCATACATTCATACATTCATTCATTCATACATTCATACATTCATACATTCATACATTCATACATTCATACATTCATACATTCATACATTCATACATTCATACATTCATACATTCATACATTCATACATTCATACATTCATACATTCATACAGTCATACATTCATACATTCATACATTCATACATTCATACATTCATACATCATACATTCATACATTCATACATTCATACATTCATACATTCATACATTCATACATTCATACATTCATACATTCATACATTCATACATTCATACATTCATACATTCATACATTCATACATTCATACATTCATACATTCATACATTCATACATTCATACATTAATACATTCATACATTCATACATTCATACATTCATACATTCATACATTCATACATTCATACATTCATACATTCATACATTCATACATTCATACATTCATACATTCATACATTCATTCATTCATTCATTCATACATTCATACATTCATAGCTTATCTTTTGTTTCGTGGATTAGTAAGAATAATCTAAAGAGTTGCGTCATTGCAGCAGCTGCACGCTTCAGGATGTCTGGGGCCACTCACATGGCGCTGCCGGCGCATGCAGTCGGCGCTGGGTCAGCGGGCTCCGCTGTGAACCTGCCCAGCCTGGGCAAGCGGGGACACAAGCGTTCCGTGTCGCTGGAGAACAATGCGCCGCTGACGCTGCGCAGCACGCCGAGCCTGAGCAGCATGGGGCAGACGACGCTGGGATCACCGTTGCCGCTGCTACAGCTGCCACAGCACGGGGCACTGCACACGGGCACACTGAAGTCGCGGCAGGAGCAGCGGCGTCTCAGCCAGAAGTTCAGCAGCCACAGCAATCTGGACGACGAGACACTCAGCGGGCCGCAGATGCGCAGCAAGTTCCAGAACATCCGGCAAATGTTCGAGCTGAGCCGCAGCTGTGTGGCCAGCGCCGGGGAGCTGGGCGATGGCAAGTCAGCCGAGGATGCGCTGCAGTCGCTGCCAGCTATGCTCGGCCAGCAGACGCCAACGGTGCGCCGCACCACGCCCATTGCAGCCGGAAGCCGTTTGGCCATTAGTGAACAGCTCTCGCAGTCCCACCAGCCGGGCGAGGCCAAAGAACAGGTGAGGCATTTGACATTGTCTTGGCGTTGGGTGTGCCCTGGGGCTGGGTCGCACTTGTTATTGATTGATCGACGTTGCTTTACCTTTCGCTGCAGCCAAACGGTGCCGGCAACTTTCTGCGTCCGATTGCCTTCAAGCCGATACCATTCGAGCCGGACTATCGCATTGCCGCCCAGCAGCAGCAGCAGCACCAGCAGCAGCAGCAGCAGCAGCAGCAGCAACAGCAGCAGCAGCAACAGCAGCAGCAACAGCAGCTGAAACAGCAGCAGGCAGCCGCCCAGCAGGCGGTGCCAGGCGAGCGTTACGGCTACGGCTCGACACCCTCCTTGGCACCGCTCCCAACGACGTCCACACACAAGTTTGGAAGTAAGTGGACAACGTTTACGTGGCATCGATAGTTTCCTTAATTGTTGCTACTCTTGCCAGGCACAACAGATCTGCGTCACTTGGCGGCGCGCCGACGCGGCCATCGCGTTGTCCAGCGCGTCAGCAATGAGGACGGACTTGGCCTTGGGCTAGGCCTGGGCCTGGGTCTGGGTCTGGGTCTCGAGTGTCTATCCGGCCTGGATAGGCCGGATGGCGGCAGCAGGTACCTAATGTAATGTTGGCTTACCAATCAGCAAATCTTAGCTAATCCGATCTGGAATGCTTACAGCAAGGGCAACGCCGTGGCAGGTGCCAGCGATCTGACGCCCTCGCCCTCGGACTCTGGCATATCGGAGCTGGAGGCAGCGCTCAAGGATCGCGACTCGGAGCTGTCGTACCTGCGACAGGCAATGGAACAGAATGAGAAAGTAATTTTCAAAGTCCAAAAGGTTAAATAGCCAAGAAGCCATCCCATCAGCCTGACTAATCGTTGTCGCATCTCGTCTCGATCTCTATTCCAATTAGGACAAGGAGGTATACTGGGAGCACGAGACACAGCGCCTGAAGCTCTTCTTTGAGAGCCAGCAGCGCGAGTATCATCTGAAGTTCAAGAAAATGGAGCAGCTGCTCGCCCTGCAGCAGTTCCAGCTGAAGCAGCACAATTTGCGCCAATCGGAGCAGCTGCAGAAGCTGCAGCAGCAGCTCGACATGACCCGCAGCAGCAACAAGAGCCTCAAGAACTCCGAACAGCAGCTTCAATGCTCCGCCCAGGAGCTCAACCAGCAGCTAAACGAGGCCCATCAAACAATATCCGCGCTGCGTGTCCAGCTGGAGGACAGCGAATGGAAGGTCTGCGAACGCAACGGCGAAATAGCTTTACTCAAGACGCAGCTGAAGGAGGCGCATGTAAGTTGAGTCCGATATCCAGAACTGGGCTATGTTCTTTCTCATATTTGCATATTTATTCGGAGGGGATGGGGCTTGTTAGGTGTCAGAAATTCCAGTCTATATTACTGGAACTTGCACAGAGGTCTCTAGATCCCTACGACTCCTTTGCAGTATTCGATCTACGCTACGTGAGGAGTGAGAGGCGTGATCGCAATGCTGAAGTCGTACTGAGCACAAGTCCCAAGGCTTAAAGGTTTACGAGATGGGCGGGCGGACAGATTAATAGATGGACTAATGGACGTATGGACAGGCGGAATGGCGGACGGAGGGACGGGCGGATTGACGGACGGACGGACGGAGTGACAGATGAAAGGACAGACAGACGGACGGAGGGACGGTTGGATGGAGGGACGGACGGAGGTAGGAACGTGTGGACGGGAGAACGGATGGACGAAAGGTCGGACGGACGGATTGACGAACTTACCGACGGACGGAGGGACGGACGCAGAAACGAACGAACTGACGGAGGGAAAAATGCACGGACGGATTAACGAACGGGCGGAAAAACGAGCGGACGTACGAAAGGATGAACGGATGGAAATATGAACAGACGGACGAACATGGCTACATGGATTCATCTGGTCGCCCAGATTAAGAATTTTCATATACTCTATGTATGTTTCGCCTGTTGCATAAGTTTCCCCAAAACCATTAACCCCGACTAGCCTTTGCAGTGGGTTTTGGTTATAGCAAGATCTAAGCTGAGTTCACAAAATGAAGCTCAAGACAGGGAGCTATTACGAGCCGCTATTTAGGCAGCTGTTCGAAGTGGCTTAGACATGAAGCCTAGATAACTGTCCAAGATCTATTGAAGTGTAAAGAAATAACAGCTGAATTATCAATCAAGTTTGGATTAGCTCAGTCAGCGCAAGGCAATGGAAACAAGAGAGTCACTTGAGTCTAGGTCAAAGAAACGATTAGCTTAGAAAACTGGTTTTCCCGCTGCTGAGCTATAATAATTAATCTTAAATTATGGTAATGCTAGAATCAATGAGCCGCAACAACTAATTTTGAAAGACGGAAAGACGCTGAGTTGAGTTCATACTTAACAAGTTCTGCCAGTAAAATGTTCTTTCTTGTTCACTTTTCTTCTCAGCTTGAAATCAATATGAAGGATCATACAATTGTCAGCCTGAGACACAGCAATATGAACAACAACAACAACAACAACAGTAACAACAACAATTGTCAGACAACCACATGCCAAAGTCAACCAAAGCAACAGGCGAAGGAAGCACCACAGCCCAAGGACCCAGAGCAGGAGCAACAGCTGCAGCAGCTGAACAAGATCATAGCCCTGAAGGATCAGGTGATTGGCGCGCTAACCAACGAGCTGGCCAAGCTGCGCAAGGAGCTCTCCGATCTGGCCATTGCGCATGAGTACGGCGAGGAGCCGTGCGGCCGTTACACGCGCCTCAAGCAGCAGCTGGACAATCTGAACGAGATCTGCCAGAAGACGCACAAGTACACGAGGCAGGCGGCCGGGCCAGTGCAGTTGGACGCCATCATGGAGCGACTGCAGCTGGATCAGGGCCAGCCGGCGCAGCAAGCGCTAGACACACTGATCGAGGAGTCGACCACCTATGCCGAGGACATAGCCAAGCTGCGGCAGAAGCTCGACGATTTTCGCATCAATCTGGAGCTGGAAAAGCGTCAATGGTGCGCCGAAAAGGACAAGGTGCTGGGCTATCAAAAGCAGCTGCAGGCCCACTACATTCACATGTACCAGAAGCTGCGCTGCCTGGACAATGCGGCCACAAATGCAGCGGCATCAACGCCCCCGCCGCCACCGCCGCTGCCCGCAGCCGAGGTGAGCAGCCAGCTGGGCTGACGACATTTGCAACTAATTGAATCGTTGCTGCTGCTTGGTGCTGCTAGACACTGCTGATAAAATAAGTTAATTTGTTTTGTCATTTTTAGTGTCAATTAGTTTGTTACGACAGCAAAACCCAAACAGATGCTTCCGAACCATTATAATTCAAAACGTGACTCGACACGCTCGAAGCAGCTCGAAGAGTTGTGTCTGGCTTTAGCTGGCCTGAGTCAACAAAATCGTTTAGCTGCGACTTCTACTATCTATAATTATATATGTCTTTATATATATATATCTTGCCTGTCTACTTTAATAATAAATGACTGCATTTATGCTAGGCCCAGTCCCCATCTAACATCAAGAATTTAATAATATTTAACTATTATAAAAAAAAACATTTACTTTGAAGCAACTGGCATAAATGTAGCGAAGGTCCCTAAAATGCTAAGGCAGCGATATTTTAAATATTTAATTACAATTATTTTTTGATATAATTTTAAGAAATATACAATATTATGCAATAAATATATTATATATGCAGCTATATATGAGCGTGTTTTCAATTTGCAGAATTTAAAGTTGAGTTCAGGCTAGCTGAAAGCTGAGCAGCAGCGATATTTGATATTAAATATTTAATATTCAATATTTAATATTCAAAATTTTATTATTCAATATTTAATATTCAATATTTAATATTCAAAATTTTATTATTCAATATTTAATATTCAATATTTAATATTCAAAATTTTATTATTCAATATTTAATATTCAATATTTGATATTAAATATTTAATGCTCAATATTTAATATTAAATATTTAATATTAAATATTTAATATTCAATATTTAATATTCAATATTTGATATTAAATATTTAATGCTCAATATTTAATATTCAATATTTAATATTCAATATTTAATATTAAATATTTAATATTCAATATTTAATATTCAATATTTAATATTCAATATTTAATATTAAATATTTAATACTCAATATTTAATATTCAAAATTTTATTATTCAATATTTAATATTCAATATAAATTAAGAAAATTTTCTTTAATTTAATTCACGTATTTCATTTGTAAAGAAAACAGATCAATTTTTAAGCCAAAAGATTTCACAAACAGAGAAATAAATGCTGTTAGCAGTTGAACTATATAGAGTTGGTTTAACTTCTAAGACTGCCCTCGCAACAGACTTTTGGTTTTGTATGCATTATCCATAACTGAAAGTAAAAATCAAGAAAAATTCAGGATTTGTATGTTTATATTTAATATATATTAATTTGTGTTTTATATGTAGCTTCACTTTGTATACGAACAAGCGATAAAAAAAACAAACATATTTCATATTCATATTGACAATTACACAGAGTTACGAATAGGTGTGCAAGAGAAATGGCTTAATTGGGAACTACAAATAATGAAAATAAAAAAAAAAATATTATTACAATACAAAATAGTTCCGTTTGTTAAAATTTAGATATTTTAATGCAGAGACCTTTAAAGCTCGTTGTAAGAATATATATATATATGTGTGTATATATATATTTGTATGTCTGTATATGTATTTAAAAAAAGAGAACGAAGATAAACAATTCGACATTCTTCCAGTATCACGCACACACATACACTCCCAAGCACACACACACACGCACACAGACTTAAGTATCCAGTCAGACACTCTTAGACAACTAGGTGACTTATATTGTTCCGATAGCTAGGCACAGTCCTCCACATAGGTCGCCGGAAAGATGCCAATTTGATTGCGCAATGCGCCCAGCCACCAGCCGTCATCCTGTTTGGCATGAACCTCGATGATATCGCCGGGATTCAGTTCCAGTTCGTCGTAGAGTTTCGGTGCATAGCTGTAGAGCGCCTTGCAACGGCCAAGCACCTGGCACTGGTGGCCGCCGTCCTTTGAGCTGACGCTGGTGAAATTGCTATTGGCGCCTTGAGAGCTCATCGATGAACTTTGCACCTCCTGCGTATTCTGATAGAAGTTCTGCGCCGATTGCGGCTCAGCCTCGTCCTCGTCCTGCGAACTGAACTCATCAAAGTCAGAGTCCTGCTGATTGGAGCCGCCGTCTGCCTGGCCACGATCGCCGTTCGTCTGGCCAGAAGTGAGTGTCTTGGACCTGCCAGTCCCAGTTGCAGTCACAGTTGTCGCCGCCAACGATGCGTTGGTTGTCGAGATTATCTTTGGTTGGCTGGTAAAAGTTTCAATATTGCTCTTGCTACGATTGAAGTGCTTCAGCAGCGCCGATGTGGGCGCGTCTACCACGCTAATGTTCGCACAGGAGCTGTTGGTCTGCACCTGCATTTGTGCGTAGTCATCGCTGTCGGCAACGACGACATCGCTAGTATCCTGCGACAGCAATGTGGTCTGCTGTGTCTTATCATTGTTCTTCATCCAGTTGGGCACCTTAAGAATGCTCTGCTGCAGTCCAGTGCGATCGCGCGTAATCTGTATATATATATATATATATATCATAAGTCAACTACTGGGCATAGCTGTTGGGCATAGATCACCTGTATGTGCTGAGCCAGCGGATGCGTGGTGCGCGGCTTGTGATCCAGTTCGAGCAGCGCCGTATGCAGTTTCAAGCGTGCGCCCTCCAAATAAGTCAGCATAGAGCGAATCTAAGTTAAAGAGTCAATTAGTCACCAATGGAATTGGATGGCAGGGAGTAGTTACATGGTAGAGCTTATCGGTTATGTTCTGATGCTCCTGATTGTTGAGCGACTGTGAGAGGCCACGTAGTCCATCTCTGGAGCGTCGCTCTCTTTCCAAATCGGTTTTGACCAGCTGCAGCAGTTTGATCAGCGAATGCTTGCGCCGCTCGCGGTTCATGGCCAGCGTCGTGTGCTCGCAGTAGAAGTCAGGCAGTAGCTGCTCGCTGGGGCCCTCGGAGTTGCGCCGTATATTGCGCACCACCTGCATATCCTTGGCCACGTTGCAGGCATCCAGCTGCTGTTGTAGGCCGTTGGTCATGCTGCCCAAAATTGGATTCATGTCGCTGATGAGGCGCGCATATTGCTGCACAAAGTTGTGCATGTTGCCCACGCGATGCTGTTCGCTGCTCTGCAGCTGCGAGGAGCCGCGCAGCACGGCCATCTCCCAGTCGACGCGGGCTCGCTCGGCTCGGACGCAGAGCGTGTAGTATTCAACGTCTGCCCGTTTGACCGCCTCCTCGGCCTTTTTGCGCTTGTTATCCAATTTGGCGCAGTCTTTCTCGGCCGACTTGAGCTCCTTCTCGGCGGCGAGCTTGTTGGGCCCTTGATGCAGCAATGCAATCGATGGTGATTTTTGTATGCGCACGTCCAGCATCGCATCCTGCAGCTTCTCGTTCTCCCGGGCGGCCGTGTGTGAGGCCTTCTTGGCCTTCGCTTCGCTCACACGCCATTCGCTGAGCACGCGCGCTGCTTTGTCCACATTGCTCTCGACCTGGTTAAATAAACTCGATTAGCGCTTCGAATGGCAATGCGCCTTGCCGCCGGCTTAACTTACCACTTTGCGTGTCTTGTGATGATTGTCCACGACTGTCTTGAGCGGCTTGACCAGCTCATCGGTCAGCGAGGCTGCCAGCTGGCGATGGATGTCGCTGCGACTTTCCATTTCTGTAGCAACACCACGCCAGGCATCCGCAACGCTGCCCGGTATCTCTCGGCCAGCTTTATTCAGTTTATTGGCCAACTTCGAGAGCGACTTCGAGTAGATCAGCTCCGAGTCGGCTCTGTATATATTCGAGGAGTAAAAGAAATTGAGTTGAGCTTTTCAGCTGGTGAAAGCGTGCCACAACTTACCGCTCTTGCAGGACGAAAATGAGTTCTTTGCTGAAGTCGCCGCCCTGTTTGACATAGCGTCGAAGCTCCTCGAAGCCGTTTTGTCCCTATTAGAGGAGAGATAGAGAGAACTTTAAGTATGATCCTGGACATAGAGTAGACATATCAAAAAAAAAAATCGCCGTGATTTTGGACCAAACAATGCTCTAGCCTGTACCTCGTCTTTGAAGCGTTTGGCGTTCGGCGACAAATCCTCCTCACTGGGGTTTTGCGACAGTGAAGGATCATAGTCAGTGCGTTCGGTGACGTCCTCACAGCTCTCGGTCATATCACGACTTCGGTCTGGGGACATTGACTGACGGCTGGCGTTGGCTGTGGACTGATTAAGATTCATTTTGGATTGTGCCACGCGCTTGAGTGGCGTCTGCTGGCGCACCACCTCCTTGAGCTTGGTACTCTCCTCGCCCAGCCAATTCTTCATGCCGTGCCAACCCTTGCGCAGCTTCTCCTTGTTGTGATTAAAGTTGATCAGACGCTGGTTCTTGTTCTTGAGCAGGGTTATGCGACGCTCGTTGGGACGCAGCTGATCCCGATGAGTGCAGTACTCCAAGTCTATTTCACGACTGAAATCCTCTGTCTCGTTGATCTGCCTGGTTATCTCCTGCAGCTCATCAATGGACACAAACAGATTTTGGGCATTCAGGCTCGTGTAGCTAACGGACTTGAGATCGAAGTCAAACTCATCGGTGATGCTGAGCAGGCTTCTGCTTCTGCTTCTGCTGCGACTTCGGCTGCGACTCCGGCTGCTGCGACAGCTGGCCAAACTCTGCTTGGAGCTTTGCTTCGAGCTCGTCCGCTGAAAGGAGTCAATGCTATTGAATCGCTTCTGGCCCAAGGCGCCACACATGTATCTACTCGACTCGGAGGTGTGCGTGGCTAGCTGCTGGCCACGTTGTGGCGTGCTGTGGTTCTCCTTATTGTCGCTGGCCGCCAAGCTCAGCTCGCTGGTTCCATACAGCTCGGGCAGTTCGGGCAGGTTCAGGCCCAACTGCGGCGGCGCCGTCGCATTCATGTTGAGTGTCATCGACGGCGACTTGTGTAAATAGACTTTCAGCTCGGAGCGATGCAGGTTCTGCACTGATTTCGATTGCTGTTGACGGGCAATGCGTGGCCGTCGAATGGGCGGCTCCACAGCAGCTGCTGCTAATGTTGCAGTTGCAATTGCAGTTGCAGTTGCTGATGCTGGTGGTGGTGGTGGTGGTGGTGTGGGTGGCGGTGACAGCTTGTGTTCAGGTTGATGAGTTGGCGTTTCAAAATGTTCACTTTCCACACAATCGCCGCCCGAGTGATGTTCGATTTGCGGCGTGCCACAAGCATCCACAAACTCTTCCTCATCGGAGCTGCGTGGCGTTAGAGTGCGCACTATTGAGGATGTCTTTGCAATGCCGCCTCCAATCTGCTTCAGACGGGCCTCTGTTACACCAAAGCGATCGGTATCCAATGTTGTAGTCGATATAAGAATGGGTGCACCAATCTCCAAGCGATGATCCTCGGAGTTGCTGCCGGTCATGTTGTAGCTGCCAGTGGCTAGCTTGCTCGGCGAGCCGGACCGATCCTTGCCAGCTCCTCCACCTGGCAAAGTCATGCCGCCTAAATGACGACGGCCAAGCTTATTGCCGAGCACTGAATATCGCTTAATGCGTGTGAGGAATCCTCTTCCACTACTTCCATTGTGGTTGTTACTGTTGTTGTTGTTGTTGTTATTATTATTATTAATGCTGTTATTGTTATCCGAGGTGGCGTTATTTGAAGGAATTTCGGCCACAGCCGCATTGTCCTTGCCACCCAATTTAAATTTATGAACGCGCAAATGATTCATTTTTCTACATAAATTATTTAAATATTTGATTAGACTTTTGATTTGAATTCGATTTAACGGCACAGCGCGGCTCTCGCATATGTACGTTCACATTGCGTGCGCACTGCTAATTGTCCAAAAACCGAGTGGATAAGGCAACTAGAACAGGCGGCTAGTGCACAAGCAAGAGACAACAAGGAGAAGTGGAGAAACGTCGGGGCCGAAGGAAGCCAAAGCAAAAGAATAAACACAAATGATGAAGGTTTTTTTTTCATGTTGTAGGCAACTTAGGCTTACTTATAAAAAGTAGCACGACTCTTCTACACCCTCTAACCGATGCCAATGCTGTGACATAGTAAATGTGGGCGTACATTGTATATAAATATGTATGTATGTATATAGATGAAGACATACAGATACATCTATACTGTACATTGATACGTCTTTGTAATATATTCGCACTAAGCTGATAGATTTAATTAATGGCATTCACTTTTATACTCGATAATACCCTATGCTCATAAAACATAAAATGCAGACAAAGCTAGGCCGACGCTCACCTAAATATATGTACATACAGACACGCACTCACACTACTTAAGAATTGGTAAAGGGAAAAAGAGCAAACGGAGCATAAGAATCAGCTGCAGTCAAAAAGAACAATAAAAGAGACACATACGCACTTTCGCTCTCTTTCTAACAAGCAAGTGTTGCATTATTTGACCCCTGCTTATGTCCGTAAGGCTTACATGCATATGTATGTATTCATTTATACACACATACATACATACAAAAATATTCTGTTTGGACATGGCGACCCTCCAATCCCGACCCCCTCTATCTGTGCTCTTTGCTCCACTTTTAGTTCAGGTAAAGATTACAAAACTGTTTGTTTATTGATCCGCAGCGTTGAAGGCAGAGACAGCGGACAGTCAAAGAGTGCATTAAGAATTGGTGTGGAAGCATAAAGAAGAGTAAGAGGCCGAGGAAGTCCACAGCTAAACAGTGATGTGCGTTTGTTATGTCAAGAATCGCTGCGTTGGCATCGGAATTGACAGCAACTGTGCCGCCCTCAGCGACGCATCGTCTGCTTTTTCTATTTTTCTTCTTGAGCATCGACATAAACACATACACGACATAACAACATATCCACAGCTATACCATACATACATAAATACTTATGTATTAGAACCTAAATATTTTGTGTGCTGCTGAATAAAATAAAATTATATACCCTGTTTACACATATGTATATGTATACAAATTAATAAATTGTAGGAGAAAATTCTCATAGACGATGTGATCATGTGCACAATGTTAACATTATCCTATACATTTATTTCTAACAATCATCCACGTATGAGTGCATGTTCATGCTGTAGGGTATTTCATAGTCGAACAGTATTGACACAGCAATTTGCTTGTTCTTTGTGCCATTTTCGTTTCATGGATTTTGTTTGCATTTATAGAAAATAATTTATTTATGAACTATTTATTTTCCAGTTGGGCGAGGGTGCTGAGCTGAACTTATACGACTATCGCATGCTCTGCAGTGCAGCATTTTAGTTGTTATTACATATACATATGTGCATAGTGGATAAATTTGATCTAAATGCATAGTTTTTGTAACTGTAAATAATACAAATTTTACTGTTACTTAAATAAAATGAATTTACATGCTATCTACATAAGCTACGTGCCTTTCGTGATCAATGCTAAGAACGAACACGCCATCAGCGGACTGCTAGTTCTATAGTTCGCTAAACGATACACTGAGAAAAGTTCGTGATGGCTAACTGTATTAAGCTACATATATTATTTATATATGTTGATATATGTATGCGTATAGGATGAACTGTAGATTGACAACTGAAATGTTATTTAACAATATCTTTAGCTTGAAAGTGGAAAAAGTGTATTGCTAGCTGCACGGACACGTACACACACGAATATGCATTTATGCATGTGCATACGTTTGTATATATGACTGTATTTATGTTTGTACATATGCATGCGTCAAGCTTACAATGGAAAGTGGGTGGAATGCGTGGAAGAGCGAGACAGGGAGAGTCGAGGCGGGAAGTTTAAAAGCTGCTGCTGTCTAATGAAGCTTCATACATACATGCATACCATATGCACATAGTTGGTTCTTTATATGTGTATGTAATTCGATGCAAGTGCATATCGACTTAAGGTGCCAAGGTTCGGGTTCGCGTTCGGGTCGGCGTTCGAGTTCGGGTGCGAGTTCGGATTCGGGTTTATCTGGTTATTAATTGTGCTCTGCTTGCAACAGTTAACGCTTTTGCGTTTTCTATTCCATGTTGCCAACAAGCGAAACCGTAGTAAGTTAAAAAATTTAATTACAATTCGCTATTGTTGTTATTACTGCAGTTGTTGTTGTTGTTCATGTTGTTATTGTTGACTAGCATTGTTGTTATAGTAGCTAATTGCATTTGTAATTTGCAAAGAGAACACGTGAACACATGCCAGAAGTGTGTGCTCAACTAGCCAATACCCTGTATTCGCTGGCAGCTACATTCGCTTTTGCTAAAAAGCTGAAAGAGTATTTGGAAGTCGAATTTCGAATTTTAATTCCCACACATAGTTTGTCAATCTTAATTGGGAATGTTTGATGAACTTGTTGATATATGTATATAGAGTATATAGCAACAATATAGAATAATATATTTGTGCCTAGTCGGGTTAACTGACTTTGATCTGTATTATAATAACTGAATTATCCAAAGCTAAAAAATAACTGTTATAGAGGTTTTCTTTTTTAGTGGAACTGAATAACTGAATGAAGAATATCAATCAAATATTAAGCCCAGAGCAAAATATATGAAAATAAAAATAGATATATATTTATATATCTATGCATAGAAACAACCCAGCGAAATATTCTTTATACTTTTCTAGCCCATCTAAATGGCGTCTAAGCAGTTGTTTATATAGATAGATATTATTGATAAGCAGAGTCAAGTCTAGCTCTCGTCATGTATTAATGTTGGTCAGGGATGCCTCCCAGAATCAGTCAAGAGAGTGGAAAGCGCTGATGTGGCACGTATCTGACTAATGGAGTGCAACTTGAACTGGAGTGTGACAAGTGAAGAAACAATTGAGCTAATGAACACGGGCAGAGCAACTGTCGGCCTTAGCCTCTGTTGGAGGCTCAGTCAAAGCCTTCGCCCTCGCCCTCGCCCTCGCCCTCGCCTATGCACCTGCCTTAGCCGACAACGACGAAGGGCCACTTGAGGCAGCCTCATGAATCTGCTGAAGTTGTGGCAGAGGCAAATTGCAAAGGGCGCATCGAGTGGACGCTGCTAGCGAAACCCCGCAATTATGCGAGCTCTGGCTCGAGCCGGGGCTTTAAAGTCAAATAACATAAATTATGGCCAGACGGATAAAAAGAACTGAGGGAGAAATGGGAAAAAAATCATCTGAAAACAATCAGTGGAGTCGCGCTCCTAGCCGCAGGCTCAGCTATAAATAGATGCGATTGCACTTGCAACCAGAGGAGCTGCAACAACAACAACAAGGCCAACAACATTGGCCAATTGAAAATCCTTTGGACTGTGCGTGCTGCGGCGTCCTTTTTAGCCCAATTGCCCCCACCCACATTTTGCAGGCAATTTATGTTTAATAAATAGGCGTATAATGCCACAGCCGCAATTTGTGGGCGTGCCCAATGGCAAGGTCACAGCCTGAAGCCAACGTCGCCCACTCACGTCGAACGCAACAATGTTAAACGAAGCTCTGGCTACAGTTGAGTACGCGCTCTGTTAGTTAACATCGCTCTGTTAGTTAACAGCGCTCTGTTACGCTCTGGTTGCTCGTGTCCGGCTCGTAGTTTAGTTTTGATTTACCTTTTGCTGCACTAAACGCTCTTTAAAATTTCAGAATTTGCAAAATTTCGTTGGAATTTTAATTATTTTTTTTTTTTGATAATTTTTATAGCTTTTTACCAAATTTCGTACGCTAAACAAGAACCAAATTTACAGTAAACTGAAACGAAAAAATTGCCAAAATTCGATGGGTTCGAACACCGATTGACAACTGAATACGGACTGCTGTGACATGGATATCTGCTCCGAGATAAGACTAAGTGATCCATGGCACACTAAAGTGTTCTTTGCCATACGCACAAATTCCAGAAGCCCATTTCCAAAATTAGATCGTTGAGTTCATTGGAAAACTGGGCCGCAACACGCTCCAGTTCGCCCCATTTAGACTGGAAATATACGTAGAGCAAACGCGCTCTGCCGACGTTGAGATGTTCTCAACAAATGGATTTTGATATGGCATGTCAAGTCCATGACAATCTAGCATAAAGCGAATCAAATATTTCAAATATATTTACTCAACTTGAGCTTTATCACAAAGCCCTATATCTATCCATACTCGGTGTGACTTTCTTTGGGTTTCAAATTATTTTTCAAATATCAAAATTTATCGGTTTTTGCAAGTGAAACTAAGACACGTTCTATGCATATTATTTATCTGGCATAACGCTCGAAAATGTTCAAATTTTTGCACTTAACAGCTCTAAGTTTCGGTCCATTTATCTCATTTGGTGCTGAGTACAATAAACAAATTGTTGCTATATACAGAATATATATATATATATATATATATATATATATATATATATATATATATATGTATATATATGTGTATATATGTATATAGTCTGATTGATTGATTGACTAATCTGTAAAGTTCAATAAATTGACTTTAGTTTTCTCGCAGAAAATTTCTTGATCTAGCAATTAGCAATAGATTAAATAGTCGATCTAGAATGCCATGAAAGCGCTGCAATAATATAGCTAAAACAATCTGAGTCAAAGATTCATTTGCCAAAGCTCTGTAGGCAGATTTCTTTATAGATAACTTTAATTCCACAAGCAAATGTGGAAAATGCGTGAAAAGCAAAGAGATAAATGAGAAACTTAAATTTTTTCATTGAGTTGACTAAAAGCTATAGCTTTAGATATATATATATATATAAATATATATATATATATATATATATATATATATATATATATATATATATATACATATATATATATATATATAGATATAGAGGAAGACAAAAAAAAAGATAAATTAAAGTTGAGCTCCAAAAGTATTTGACTAAAGCTA